ATTGACAATTATTTAGTTTTCCCACGATTTTCTAGTGCCGGTTTCAAAAACGATTTTATCTCCGTTTGTAAAGGAAAATGGGTGAAATGAAGTATTTTTACATGTTTTTTCGATAGTAGAAAACTACATAATTAACTTGTGAAAACCCTACCTTCGTATCGGTTAGTAAAGGGTCATAATTGCAATATTTTTAAAATAGCAATAAATAACTCATAACAAAGATTACTCTGTTCAATCAGTTATTGTAAACGACCACGTATATTGTTGCTTATTACTTGGGTTTTTCGATCGACCTTGATATTAATAAATAGTTCGTAAATCGATTTCTTTCTAGTCAGAGTTTTTCCATAGATAAAAAAATCATCGTTTAATTTTTTTTTAACAGAAACTTCAATTGTTTATCATGTTTATTGAACTATAGTCCTTCTATCTGATTTTACTTCTTACTAATAATATAAATGCGAAAGTTTTGATGATGGATAAATGTTTGTTAGAGTTTGTAGCCAAAAGGGCTAAACGGATCTCGATGAATTTTGGCATTAATGTAGATAATAGCCTGGAAGAACATATAGTTTACATACTTTTTTTATTAAACTCGGTCGGAGTCGCGGGCGAAAGCTAGTAATATTATAAATGCGAAAGTTTTGATGGATGGATGTTAGAAGGTATCACCGAACTGTTAAGTATGTGTTTGGCTCAGTTGTAGAACATAGTTTTAGGCATAGATAGGCTTTTTTAAATGTGGGCAAAAGCTAGTACGGTGCGTTGATAATTAAGTTATTGGTATACATGAAGTTTAGCACGAAATTTAAAATTCTATGAAAGCAGTTGGGCATCCTGTGTTTATGCTACCTGAAATGTGTTTCACACCTCTGCACGTACACGCGTGACGACTATGAGTCAATTCGTATTATTCAAGAATTTTATCGTCAAAATTCAAATGCAAAGAGAACGGATGTTATGTTAATTAACCTTTTTTGATATATACAATGTACATTCTTGAATTTGTGTATAAGAATATGCAACAACCAGCAAGTTTGTCCTCGTTATCACGTAACAAAACGTACCACGAAAATCTGGTGCATTTTGAAATCATGACTTCAAGTCACTGATCCGTACAAATGGAAAGGTCACATCTTTTGTTTCGTCCCGACTTGAAAGCGCCTACTGACGCTACTTACTGTTAATTCTAATATTAGGTCCTTGCCTGCACCAACCGTAACCGTCAGTGCCAATATGGCGAAAACCAAAATATGAACAAAGTACCCCGGTTTATACGCAATCGATTTAAATAGATTATGTATAATAGGTCACTATCAAAAGTTTATGTTACAACACACTTCAAAATCTACTTTGGCTTTGTTACATGCAACACAAACTTCTTACAGATGTTAAGACAAATATACATACGGAATTACAAACACGAACCCTTGAAAACAAAATCACCTCGGTGTTCCTGCCGCTCGTTTGACCCCTTTTATTATATAAAAATAAGCATTCCTTTTGTAATGTTGGTACTTTATTAGATCAAAGATCTTTGCAATCTAGTAAGTAAGAGAACGCGTACCGTGGGTGGTTTCTAATTGGAGTTTTTAAATAAACAGTTTACATCTTAGTTGGTATTCCCAGACGTAAAGAGCGCTAGAGTTTGTAACATCAATTACAATTATGTCCAATTTGAATTGCTTACTATTGTTTTGTTAATCACGTCGTCTCTTCTATTTTTATAATGTCTCCAACTGATACTCGTACGTTAAACCATTGTTGAGAGCGCGTACACCTTTGACTATCGCACAAGTGTTTAGTCGCTTTTCGATTCCTATAAGTTTATATGGAGGTGCGGACACTAGTCGATTTTAGTTGTGAAATTGAATGGGCTGCAAAACAATCGACAATCGCACAACAGTTTAGTTAAAAGTGTGCGCCCGCTCTAAAAGAACAAGTCTTGAACTAATATATAACGGTAATGCCGTTTGCTGACATACTAAAAAGCGTAACCAATGATGTCAAAAAAAATTGTGAGACGTTTGTCTGCTCCATTAGCGAGTTACTTTTTATTTATTTTGTCTGAAATGTTTTAGTTTTTCCGAACAAATCTTATATCATCTCACTAGTATGATATATGCGAATGTTTAGAAAGCCACATAAAACACGATCTGGAGGATCACATATACTACGTTTAACTTTTATTTTGATCAAGTCGCGGGCAAAAGCTAGTCTATTTTAATTTAAAATCTTTCAGGTATTTAAAAAGAAAAAACACGTCTTGCGTCACAATAATAATACTCCCACAGAATTAATTATACTTTCAATAGATTACGATTTCAAAGAAACTAGATTTTTTTGCTGAGAGTAGCCGATTTTCCTCTTCAAATTACCAAGGTAAATAATGATAAACCAAACAAACCAAGACGATCTCGAAAAGTCTGTTTACAGAAAAACTTCGCAGAAAAATCCCTTTATTTTGGCAAGTTTCTAATCAATTTAATACACAAATTTTCCCTATCTCATGTTTTTACGCTATTGTAAAAAGACATTGACATCATGGCCTCTGACCATTTATCAACAATATTTCATATATACACAATAATTTACTCTAAAAATATAATCGAATACATCAACGTACTAAAAAACTGCACAGAATATTTTTGTTAGAATCACACGGAACAGTTTCAGGTATACGAACTGTTGTTTATCCCTCAAATAAATTTGACCTACTCCAGTCTTTTGAATGCATTTCAAAAATATCTGTAACGGTAAATGATATCGTACTACATCGGTTTATACCAGTACTACATAATTCACAATCTATACTTCTCTATACTTAGTATCTATACTATTATAATAAAGCGTAAACACACACTTCTTTGTAGCCTAAGATGTCGGCAATTACAGCATATTTTTGAATAAATCTTTTTTTAATAAAAAGCCCTACGATTGCGTCACGCTTTATGTTACATATTTTACCACCATTAAACTTAGGCGGTAAATTTTTTGTATAAAAACCCTAATGTGGGAAAGAGACCATAAGTGCCAACATCAAGGAAGCAAGACAGTCAAGGTTGTCATCATGTCAAGTCATTTTGACATTTGTAAATGATAATTTGACAAATGTAAACAATAAAATATGTTTTTACAATTCCATGCGGTTGAAGCCGCACGGGAACAGCTAGTTGTGTATAAACACTTATGTTTATTGTGACGAGTGTAATTAACGGACAGTGGAATTAAGTAGGAAATACCGTTTCCTACCTAACCACGTTTTAAAAGTCATGGTCATTATCTTCTATCATGACATAGATCATTCTGATCTTTTTTTTTTAACTCTAAACTCTTCAAAACGGTCAGAGATTGCGGACTCAAGCACGGTCTCGATACACCTTCCTCTATTGTCTATGGATACGAATTTGGTACTTGTTATTACGATTAAAAAAGCAGAGTGCTGTAGTTGAAAAATTTCTTACTTAGTTCTACCTTCATCTTACTTTTCATCTTTCAGTAAAAATTTAATATGTTATTCAATTTTTACTTTTTTATCTATACTATTATAATAAAGCGTAAACACACACCTCTTTGTTGCCTAAGATGTCAGCAATTACTGCATATTTTTGAATAACACTTTTTTTGTAAAAAGCGCTACACTTGCGTCACGCTTTAGACAATATATTTTCACGCCATTAAACTTAGGGGTAAAGACTTTGGATAAAAACCCTAATATGGGAAAGAGACCATAACTGCTGCCAACATCAAGGAAGCAAGATTGCCAAGGTTTGTCATGTCATGTCATTTTGACATTTGCTATTGATAATTAAATAAAGTTTTCAAATTTTTACCATTTTGATTAATTTTCTATTAGTCTGCTTGAAAACGGATTGTCATATTATTTAAACTATCATTTTTTCGAGTTTTTGAGCAATGGCATTCATGGTTGCGAAGGCATTGAGTTCCTCATTTAACGCCTAATCGTTAAGTACCTGGCCTCCTTGGCCTTCTTTGGTTATTATTTTTTTCGGACATTTTTTATTTTTTATACAGGATAATATCTAATCATACTTCATAGTAATACTATAAATGCGAAAGTTTAGATGGATGGATGTTTGTAAGAGTTTGTAGCCTAAACGGCTTAATAGATTTCGATGATATTTGGCATAGATGTAGAGGATAGTCTGGAAGAACACATAGGCTACTCACTTTTGTTTTTTTTTAAATTCTACGTGGACAGAGTCTCGAACGAAAGATAGTTTTATTATAATTGTGTTGTTCTCTTAAGTAGTATTGGGTTAATTGTAAATCCGTTTAATGTGTCATTAATTAAAGAACAAAGACAGGGTAACCACACGACTTTCCCTCGTCAATGACGTTTCAGATTAAATTTAGTCGTTTAAGTTTATTCAGGTGAACGAAAGAGTGAGTAAGTAAGCCAAGCTTCTAGAATCTTCTCTTATTTTACCCGTCCATTTTATAAACAGAAGGAAATTTTCTATACTTTTATGCTTATTATAATGAGGAAAGATTTGTACTTGTGCATGTAATGAATTAACCAAAAAAACTAATTAAAATTAAATAACTACGTAATCAATTACTAACACACAAAGCCTGCGACTACAATTTATACTCGTAGTTATTTTTTGGAATATCAGTAAAACTACAAAAAAACAGGTATGTGAAAGGGATTATGGTAGCGAGAGGGTATTTAACAATGTCCTTGTGTATTTCTGAATTTTACCTTTCCATAATGACGTCAAGGAATTAATGTAGCGCAATTCAGTTGTTTTAAGAATTACTTACACTTAAAATACATTATTTCATGGACATCGCTAAGAGAGACAAAGTAATATAGAATCCCTTCGAAACTACTAAACTACTTCGAAATAATAGGATACAATCCCTGGAAATCTTTAACTCAAAAACTACTTATCAGTTTTTCTTATTCCCAGACTCATAAACATTTAATTGGACATTAAAAAAGTAATTAACAATTAAACATGAAATTTTTGCAGGATGGCAAGTTATTTGTTGAGTTGACCACAAACATTCCCCCCTGGACGGTGCTGTCGCCTGACAAATATTGCATCGATACCTTCTTCTATGAAGATGGTGACGGCAATACTAAAACACGGCTGGATGCCTTGGCTTGCTTCGCGGATGAGACCCCGTCTAATCATTTCGAAGTTCGAAGCTCATGTAATTATTTGCTCATATAACTTTGTAACTATCATGGATTTGAATAATTGCAATTGCAATTTGACTATTATCTTGATTATGGGCGTCACCAGAAGTGGTGACGGGCAGAGAGGAAGCTGTGAACCTCTAGGTAATCGAACTCCTAAATGCGGTCTAGTAGTAGTGGTAGGGGCTTTGGTTTCCGCAACTCCACGGATAGCGCGTATTTTACGTGTAAAGGCAGTCTAAGACCTGGCCTACATCATTAACTGGCGACGCCCAAGATCATATGGTGTTGGTACTTTAGCGTCATATTATTTTTATATGTGAAAAACAAATAAGTCACATCTGATTTTTCAAATACTTTTGTAAAAATGTAGGGTCATAGGATCCAAATACTTTTGCAGTCTTGACAGATATTACTTCAAATAAATATTATTTCTTTTATTTTGCTTTTATATGCATACTCAGTGATATAATTTTATTACGAAATAGAACGTTTCAATCACTCTGGTTAATAATACTTCCTCTCTTAACTGTTTCATTGGCAACCATTGAGATTATTTTTTACTGATTGATTGATTGAAACAAACCCTTTTATCTATGACGTCATATAACAATATTGTATTCTTAGATTTCGTTAGCTTTTATTGTTTCGGCTAATTGTATATTGCTCTTTTGTGACGTCACTTCTACACTATGCTTTTGGACTAAATTTGTAACAAGGAATAACTTTTTAACATTCGATCTTGTGATCAGTAGATCTGATAAATTCGAACCGTTTTAACTACGATAATTAGAAATCTTACGGAGAAGGAAGTATTATATGAGTTCCATTTTTAAGTTGATTAATTTCTCTATTCTGATGAATAGATGAAGGATTTTGCCTGCCATTTTCCCAGGCGTTGGCTCAGAATTTATTACACTTCCATCCATTTTTATAAGCCATAAATTCACAACCCATCCACATTTTCTTCGATCTGACTCCATTGTTAAACATTTTTTTTTAACTTTTTAATCCTGCAGGTATGCTGATCTCTTGTGTGTTCATTATCGCGACGGTTGCTGTGTACGCATGGCTGCCGGAGTTGCGAAACATGCACGGCCGAGTCCTAATGGCGTACCTCCTCTGCCTCTTCTTTGGCTTCTTGTTCATGGCCAGTATGCAAATAATGCTCACCGTCGACAATATCTCCGCCGTTACCTGTGTCATACTAAGTAAGTTACACTGTTTTTATGCAATGCAAATGCAAAAAATAACTAGCGATTTAATTCTGCAACAATCACTAGTAATAAAAACATATCATGTCTCTTTTGTTTTTAGGCCTCCTACTGACATAAGAGTCATTACCTGGTTAGGTACAAAGTCTTTGGTGTAAATTACTCGTACTATATCCACTCTAAGAGAGATTACGACTGCGTGTCCAACAGTAAATTCATAACCACTGTAGTTCTATAGATATATATCTTATCTATCACCAGCTCACTATACATCCCCACCGATGGGCTCGGAGCCTACCCTAAATTAGGATGACTAGGCCATAGTCAGCCACGCAGGCCAAGTGCGGGTTGGTTGACATCACACACATCTTTGACTTTCTTCGCCAATATGTGCAGGCATCACGATGTTTTCACCGTAAGAATATATAAAAAATCGAAAAATCGTAAATCACATTGGTACACTGGATTCGAACTCTAGACCTGTAGATTACAAGTCAAGTGCTTAAACCACTTTTGCTGCATGTATCATAAATCAATATTGTTATGTATATAACGGCTTATATCTATTATCCATAACACTGTAGTGCTCCAATAAAACAAAATGTAGGCCAATACTTTATATGAGACAATTAAAATTCTTACCGACAATAACATATGTTGAACCACTTTGAAATTATCATAAAGTTTTAAAGCCTAATAAGTTTTTACAACGTTTTTTATATACTGATTTTATAAGAGGAAGAAATCATAAACTATCTATTGTTTATGGGCAAATATTGAGATGAATTCAAAAACAAAGTATTACAAGTTGCCAGATACAGTTATTCCGTTTGGTTATAATGAGGGTATTCAACAAACTCGTAACATAGCATAGATAATAAAATACTATCTATACTATTATAATAAAGCGTAAACACACACTTCTTTGTTGTCTAAGATATCAGCAATTACAGCATGTTTTTGAATAATTCTTATTTAAAAAAAAGCCCTACACTTGCGTCACGCTTTAAGCTATATATTTTAACGCATTAAACTTAGGGGGTAAATATTTTGGATAAAAACCCTAATGTGGGAAAGAGACCATAAGTTGCTGCCAAAGTCAAGGAAGCAAGGTTGTCATCATGTCATGTCATTTTGACATTTGTAATAATAATTTGACAAATAAAAACAATAAAAGAAATTTTCACAATTCATGCGGATGAAGTTGCACAAGAACAGCTAGTAAATGATAATGTTTATAGTTATTCTGCAGCTACTAATGTTAGGTGAAGTTATATTCATCACATCTAGTTGTAATAAAAAATAAGCCAACTTTTGTGTAAAAACAGACACAAAGGGGCACAGCCACTCCCTTTCTTAGTTAAAGAATATTCGAGAAGCGTCCTTGACATTAAAAGGCAATCAGTATGACACATTATTTGTCCAATGCTTTGAATTCTGATTTCCGTTCATAGACCACAAATAATAAAATTGGACCGATAAGCTATTCGTGTTTGGGAATTTCGATAGTCTACATTTAGGTTTTTCCCTTTTTTAAGATCATTATACATACAGTCATATAAATAAATAATGTTTCGTCTATTATTTTACAGCGATCATCATTTACTATTTCCTCCAAACGGCCTTCTTCTGGCTTAACGTCATGAGCTTTGATATCTGGTGGACTTTCAGGTAGTGTACATTATGCAAATATTGTTTATGTACTTTAAGATCCGCTATGCGCGATGATCGAAGAATAAATAAATCTGATTTCAGTGGTAAAAGCGGAATGGGAATGAGTAAGGTATCTAAGAGATTCTGTATATATTCGATGTACGCGTTCGGAGTGCCAGCCCTTTTTACAATAATACTGGCGTCTCTTGAATTCTCCGGCCTGCCGCCACATCCCTTTCTACCATTGCTGAGGTACCAGGGCTGCTTCTTATTCGGTACGTAATGCATAGTATAACATACTCTATCTAATTTAAATCCATCCAATTAGTCGGCAGTCGATAGATCCACATTATTCCGTTGATTGCCAAAAACAGCTGTATTTTATTCTGTAGTTTTAAAAATTAAACATTAAATAATTACACCAAAAACGACATTTTGTGCGAAAACTAAATATTCCTTTTTAGAACAATTCTTAATCATGTTCGAATTTGTATACTCGTGAACGAATCTCGACGAAATCTGGCATAGATCAGATAATGAGGATAGTCTGGAACTAAACATTTTTTCCACGTCAACGGAGTGGCTACTTACTTATATTTACAGATATTAATAAAAATAATTTTGACAATCTTCAGGGAGAAGCAAACTGTTGTACTTGTACGGTCCGATGTTCATACTGTGCGTGGCGAATATTGTGTTCTTCGTGATGACAGCGGTGAAGATAGCACAGATCAAGCAGCAGACCGCAGTGCTCAAGTCCAAGGAGAGTGCCATGCACGACCAGCACAGGAAGGACAAGCAAAGGTGAGAAAACATTTACCTGATATGCTTTTTGATGAAAGTGTCAAAATGCAATTAAATATGGACTAACCAATGTTGTTTAAACTGCATATCATCGATCTATTCTCTCGGTCTCTCATCTTTCCACAGTTTAAAAAACCATCAAAGAAGAATAAAACACTTACGTTTAAGAATTACTTATAGTTTTAAACAGCTGTTCATTTTTGTAAACAGGTAACAGTTAATCCATCCATTTAACGAATGTAGGCAGTTAAAAAATAACCATCATGAAATAGCATCGTAGAAGAATGTTTTTATAAGCCATCGCCTAAAATTTACCTTGGCCTATTTTTAATTCTAGCGAGCGTTTGTGATGCAAGTGGAATTTTTTAAATTTCCCAGTTATGAAGACGTTATAAAAAGTTTGTTTTCACGTTGATTCTATTATTATCTGATACCGTACCAGGTTGCTGTTGTATTTGAAACTATTCACCGTAATGGGAATCAACTGGATCTTGGAAGTTGTGAGCGCCCTCTACCCTGATGCGGAATACATCTGGATGTTCACCGATGCCTACAACCTGCTCATTGGAGTCACCGTCTTCTTCATCTTCGTCTGTAAGCGGAAGATATTCCACCTCATTAAGAAGAGGTTTGTCACAGAGTAATGTATGATTTTTATTTTCTCATATAGGTGTCGCTGCTTTGATCTTCGGTAACTACTGTGTACTCATTTTCTTACTGCTTCGAGTATCTAATTATATGTTATACATGTTTTAGTTTCACGTAATGCATTCTTATAGTATTTCTTATGCAAAATCATATAGTTTTCAACGCATATTTCTTGTGATTAGCGTCTTTTAGTTGATATTTGTGCGTACAAAGCACAGTTTCAAGTTACATAGCGTTGTAATAATTTAGGTCTTAGGTTAAATGTATTTTTTTCATAATTATTAGGGCCAAGGGGAAACTTTCAAGATCTGACTGCAGAGAATTTAGTTATAGAACTACCATACCTAAAAGAATCACATACCTAAAAGAACCTCAAAAGGGTAGCACGGAGACAATAAAAACAGTTATTGATGATAACACAATAGAAGTTAAAACAACAAAACTATGAAAGACCTTAAAATATAAATAAATTAAGAAGAATTTATACTATTCCTACATCTTGACTGTTCCTTTAAGCAGAAAGTTCTCGATATAAAAGAATTAAAACAGCAAATGGATTTACGTTGAGGTACCAACCAAATATATTTCAATGCACTGGTTGGGTTTATAGTAACATCTAATAAATATTAAAAGCTTAAGAATTGGAATAACAATATCGCATGCTAGTGACTTTTACTTCCTATGTGTATAGAAAGAGTTTCTAACGACTGCTTTCGGCTTTCGTTCTAACACGTAATGTTTAACCTGAGGTTGTCCAATGCTGAACGTAGGCACTCATAGATTGTTATGATGTTCGGTTCTACGTCTCGTAATACTTTACTCTTGAGACATAATTGGTAATGATGGTCCTTTGCACTGCTGAAGGCATGGACATCACGTTTTTAACTTTCTCTCTGAAAATAACGTGTTAGTATGAATGTTTTCGACAGTGCACTCACTGATAGTGTTTAAATATTATGATCTAATCTCGGAACATGTAAATATGTTTTATGGTTTTTCTAAAATTATTAAACTTAATATGATAAAAATGATTAGTTTGAATGGATTAATGGTTTTGCAATTTTCTCGTATAAATCGCTGTATGTTGTACATATTATTTTTAATTTAATAGAATGGGTTTTATTGTTTAAAATATGTATAAAAAACTTGAAATTTTACTAATTGTGGGATTTTTTCTCGTTTGGCAAAGACTACAGCTTTATAATTTTATACCTCAAATTACTTTATTTCTTCAAATTAAATTAACACATACAAACACTGTTTCTTACGTTCTTCTTCGTTCTTACTTAATTAATTTCTATTACTATTTTTATTTTATTTATTATTTTAATTCTCTTTAGATACAAGCAGCTCCGTGGAGAACCCATGTCACGTACTCAAACAACTTCTACTCGAACGACTTTCAGTCGCGACGACTTCAGAATGAGTTCGGCGAAGAACGGTTAAGAAGCAAAAAGAACGTTCAAGAAGTAAGAAGAGAAGAAACCGACTGAATACAATCTATATGATGATCAAACCAAAGCAAAAAGTACTCTATAATCTAGAATTCTAAAATGTCTTTTTATTATAATAATTGTACTAACAACTATAATTATACAGGTTGTCCGAAAATTATCAGATTGATTTTTACACTATTTACAAATAAGATTTAAAAATGTCCTATGAAATTTTAAAGCTAATTTTTTATATCAACAACACATATTTAGTAAGTAGTAAATCTTTGACCCGTTATTTTCGGACAGCCTGTATTTCGACTATTATTCTTAAAAAAACACGAACTTAATTAAAGCTTAGAATCTCTATTTTTAATTATCTTTTTCTATTTTTTAAATTCTTATAAATGTTTAGTACGTAAAATTGAGCCATTTTTAATATTGCATTTTTTCGATTTTAAATGTATGACATTTGTACATACTCAAACTGTATGTAAATGTAATTGATGACCTGCAGATCGACTCACTGTTAACATGTGAAGCAGATCAAAGAACCGGGTTGCAGCTCAGGTCAATTTATAACTACATAGAGTTATCAAATCACTAGACAGGTCACGGCTCATCGTCTCTTATAATCCTAGTACGTTACGTTGAGCCGTGCGCTGTCAATTTAGTTGAGCTGCTCAACAGTTCAAGCATTGATTTGAACTTGAGTCGGTTTAGAGATTACTGACAAATCTATTTTGAATCGTGTTAAAGTATGCTAGCTTCAAGTGAATCTCTTTATGAATGTTTTTTGTTTTTAGTAAGACTTCATAGTTTTTAAGAAAGCTATCTGTACCTCTTGGTTTGTATTTAATCTTAGCAGCTAAAAGAATTAAGCAGATTTAAATATACTTTGATAAAGTTTTGCATTTATTGCACTGCATAATGGGACCATTATTATTGTACTTCAATAAGTATTGTTAATAAAATAATCTAGTCGTTTCAGTAATATATCGTCTATAAATATAATATAATTAAAAAAATATTATTCGACTTCTTTATATTACTTCGTAAGTTTTAATAGTTTCGTGTATTCAATGTAATTAGTCGTAAATTTTAACTCATACACTTATTTTATAATTATTAAACCTTTTAATAAATGAATTCATAAATTTATTGTTTCTATTTTATTTTATTTATTACTTTTATTAATAATCTACCGTCCAGTTTTTTTCTCAGATATACATTAACTTTTCGAGATATTTGAATAAATCTATACTATTATTATAAAGCGTAAACACACACTTATTTCTTAGATGTCAGCAATCAGAGCATATTTTTGAATAATTCTTTTTTTAATAAAAAGCCCTACACTTACGTCACGCTTTAGGCGATATATTTTCACGCCATTAAACGTAGGGGTAAATATTTTGGATAAAATCTCTAATGTGGGAAAGAGACCATAAGTTGCTGCCAACTGTTTGACATCATGTTATGTCATTTTGACATTTGCAATTGATAATTTGACACAAGTAAATAATAAAATTAAACATAATTTTATGAGGATGAAGTCGCTCGGGAACAACTAGTTTTTTTATAATTGGCAAACTCTTAAGCCCTCAAGTGCCTGACAATTCAATATTCAACTGTCAGAACGTTTTCATTTGTGTTTTTTTTTTATATTTTACTAATCTTACTAGTATTATAAATGGATGTTTGTTAAAGTTTGTAGCCTAAACGGCTGAACGGATCTTGATGAAATTTCGCATAGAGGATAGTCGGGAAGAACACATAGGCTACTCACTTTTGTTTTTTTTTAATTTCACGCCTACGGAGTCGCGAGCGAAAACAAGTTGATAAAAATAAAATGATTCCTTGATCACACACAATAACGATTGCGTGTATCGCGAAATAGTTTCATTAAATATCCATCGAACCGAAATAAAACATTAATTTGTTCTGGCCCTTAATTTTAGTATGACATCGTAAATTTCCACTGCCGAAACTTTGTATCAAAACATATCTATATCTCTGTTTAATCAAATGGAATGATAGTGATGACATTATATTTTGATTCAAACGTTATGACAGTGAAGATCCGATTTTAAGCAATATGACATCATATTAATTGCTTGTCTCGCAGACCTATAATTACCCTGATTAATAGTTTTAAACGAAGGCATAAGATTCATTACATTTTACATTTAAATCTGTGAATTTCGAAGAAATTCCAGAAAACAAAAAAAAAACGATAAAAACCGCTTTACTTCGAACAACTGCCTTCCCATCTTTTGTTTATTACATTTTTAGTTGCTCTCAAAACCTTAGCTATCTCATTGGGTGATTAAAAGCAAATCGGATTTAAATTTCTATCTTAATTACAAATTTAATTAACTCGAAGTTATAAAAACAGTTGACGAGTGAAACTTTTGATAACGCGTTGAATAAAAACTTGTCAAAATCGCGAAGCAGAATTTGGAGTTTTTGTTAAGTTTTTTATAGTGCCGTGTGCATATTTATTTAATTCAAATGTTCTATACTCGTAGTTATTTAATTATAAAATAAATGGCAACTCAGTAACGCAGCATATCTTAAATACTAAATTAATAAAGTATTTTATTACTTAACGTAAACGATAGAATAGTGTGGACATGTCGAAAATATTAGTGATACTTTTGTCTTTATTTGCTTTAACAAGTGCTGTGTTAAATGAATGTGAGGATAAAATTGATATTTCAAAAGGGGAATATCTACCCAATGGGGATATTAACTTCGAAGGTGTTATATACGAGAAGGGGGACTTCTTTTATGATAATAATACAAACACGGCGACTGCTTGCACGAAATTAGTTGTAAGGAAATGTTGTCCATTTGGCTACGGTCGAGATGGAAGTCGTTGTGCAAATGTAACGGATAACTTTGACATTGAAGTATGGGATGACTTCAGAGTAATAGAGGGAGCTAAAGGCCGGGAGATGTTCCGATTTAGACCGGAGAAGATGAACTGCACTCGGCCTTTCCTGACGGTGTTGGTCTCAAT